TAACAATTCAAGTCTATTTTATTTAAAAGAAACAGAATTCAAGATTTTCATAATGTTGTTTTCTTTGGTTCTAAGAAAGAAATCGCATCTGTGGGCTTTGCATGTATATATTTGTACAGATTAAATATGTATCTATATCTCTTTCACTGTATAATGTTTATCATAATCAAATAGAATAGTGAATGTAGAAATATATTAATGTGAAAACAACCAAGAATTTTATATTTATAAACAACATAAAGGTGTGTAATCCTGATTTATGGTCTCTCATATTATAGTAGGGTCTTGAAGTATGCAAGGATACTTTAGCACACTGAAGTATATAAGTATTATAAAAGAGTAAAATTTTAAAAGCAGCATGGGTAGAGAAATCTATCAGTTAATCATTTATAGAGAATATAAGTTGCCTATGTCTCTGTAAGTAACTCACTGTAAAAACTTCTAGCCAGGCCAGTTTTGAGTTTAAGACATTGAGGAGAAAATTGAGATGGTCAAAAAAGTTGAAATAGTTTACTCAACTTTGTATGATAGACAGATGGAATCTGTCTCTTGGTTAATTTTCAAATAGAAAGAACTCATACCGATCTTTCTCAAACTCTACCAAAAGACTGAAGAAGAGGGAACCCTCCCAAACTCATTCTCTGAAGCCACCATTACTCGACACCAAAACCAAAGATACTGCCAAAAAAGAAAATTACAGGCCAATATCGTGATGAACATAGATGCAAAAATTCTCAACAAAATATTAGCAAACAAAATCCAACAACACGTGTAAAAGATCATACACGATGATCAAGTTGGATTCATCCCAGGGACACAAGGATGTTTCAACATATGCAAATCAATCAATGTGATACACCATATCCACAAAAGGAAGGACAAAAGTCACATGATCAAATAAGTATGTATACTGGAAGCTGTCATTAAGATGAGAATATTGAAAAAATATTCCATTTGCTGTTAGCTGAAGATACGTTGACGTTCATATAGCCATTGTTAAAAATGTATACCTTAGAAAATACACAGCATGTGGTGCTTACTGAGCAGACACAAACTAGTTGGAGATTAAAATATGCACATTATTTAGCAAACCCCACGTATAGTGAGTATTAAGCATGATTTTCCCACTAAAACTTTAATACGGTTATTTTTAGTAATGCCTCAGCTTTCGTAGTATCTGCATTCTGGTGGCAGTAGCAATTTATCCTGTTTGTGTCAGTTCTCTTGCTTTAGTACAATGTACATTTACTGATTCTATTAATGTTTAATTATTACGAATGTTATGTTTTATCTCTTAATACTAATTTGATCACTCAATCAACTATAATTATTTAGAACCTACTGTGTACAAATACTCTACGCTTTACATAGCAATGAATGAAATATAGATGGTACCTGCTCCTGCTGGCTTCCTATTTTAACTAAAACAGCTCCATTTAAAGTGGCGTGCAATTGTATAATGTCAGGTTCATTGATTCTATGTTAGAATTTCACCATTTACATAAATTCGCAGCGTTGTAGAACATATAGAAATTGGAAGTGATGATAAAATTATTTTAAGTCTTAGACAATGATAACGTGGAGTGCCTCTGAGGTGTGCTGTATTAAAACATGTTGATCTCTGGGATTCACAGATAAAGTTGTCCTATGATCATATACAACTTCCAGCAAGCCTGCTTTAACTGATAAGATACCTTTTTTATTTGTCCTAAACAGTAGACAAAGGAGAGTAAGGGTTTATTAATATCCTCTTTTTTCCTGGGTGAGATGATATACAAGAATACTGAGTGCTTGTTAGGAGAGACAGCTGTGAGAAAGAGGAAGTATTGGGCAAAGTTTGATGAAAATAGTAATTT